CAAGTCAAGAGCACCGGAATCACCCCGCCTACGAGAGTCCTGAGCTCGCGCATGTACTTTACTTCGTCCAGGGCGAGTTCTTTCAGAATATCGGCCACAGTCGGGTTGCGGTTCCTGCTTCGAAGACTCCTCGCTGACCGAAGGCTCCTACTTCTCGTGGTCGTCGACGAAAGAACCGATATCAAGTCATCATGCGTCGTGAGCTTCTGCATCCGAGCAGAAACGACAGAAAGCGCGTTAGGATCCACCTGGTCTCGTTCTTCGCTGTCATCATGCGTCGTGAGCTTCTGCATCCGGGCAGAGACGACGGAAAGCGCGTTAGGATCCACCTGATCTCTCTCTTCACTAGCATAAGTGGTTTGAGAGCCCTTCCGCTTCTCCGCTGTGGCTGCTGTGGCTGCTGATCGCCCGTCGTCTTGCGCACTCGTCGATTCGACCGACATGATCGTTGACAAGCGGTGGGGACCAGTGCTAGGAAATGGTCGTTTCCGTTCTATCGGAGCAGGGGCATTGTTAGCGGATACTTCAGATTCACCGGACAGTGGATAAGTTCCAGTTTCAGAGGCATCTTCTTTCTCGGGTTTGGGGCTCTCTCCATGAACACTAGAGGATGGCCGGCGATGTTTCTGCTCACCAGATGTCCTCCTTCGCGACGATGGAGAAGTTTCTCTCAGAGATTCCCTAGATTTCGCTTTATCGTCTCGCGACTTGGGCCGTTCGCTGCTCGACGTCGTCTCTCCGCTTTTCACTCGTCGCTTGGAGGTCCGTCGAGAGAAATCGCTGTCGACTGAGAGCTCTGACTTTGTTTCTTTCTCTTCTCCCAGATATTTACTCTTGCGCCTTCGCGTCTTGAGTGGCGCGGGGATTTCGACATCCGGCACTTTATCGACCACAAACGGGTCCGGGGTATTGGACAGCCATGCTTCGATCTTCGAGCCCTTGCTCTGGACCGGCTGTTTGGAGGGCTCCGGCTTCAGCTCCGGCTTCAGCTCCGGTTTACTAAACATCTTCCTCGACTCGTCGGCTATCTGCCCGAGGATGCCACCCTTGGGCGACTTCACCGGCATACGGCCCTTTGACGCATGGTTTACGCCGCGGGAGCGCCGTCTCGACAGCTCGGAGAAATCAGCTTCGCTGGCTGCCCACTCTGACTCGTCATCTTGGGCCGATTCCTTCTTCTTCACAATGTCTGAGGGCTCCGACAAAGTACTATATCGATTCTTCTCGGCCGGCTCCGACAATGTGCTGTATCGATTCTTCTCCGCGGTCCCAGGGCGCGACGAGGACTTGGATGATTTATCCTTGGCATGTTCCCTCTCCAGCTTTTCTATGATCGCGTCGATATCACCGGACGTGTGAGATTTCCGCCGTGCCCTACTAGTAGTCGCCAATGGCGGTGTTGCACTCCCTTTGTCGTCTTCCCGACGCATCCGCGGGGACAGCAGAGGCGGGGGTGGGGTTTTCTCATCCTTCTTATCCTCCTTCTTCACCGAACGCGGCGGTCGTATCGGTTCGTTCGTAGTGTACTCAGCTATGCGCCGCGGTGTGGGTAGTTTGGCCCCGGGCGCCTGGGTGGGGGTGCGATTCAGCTTCCAGTGCTCATCACTCACCAGCCGCTTCCGGGGCGTGCTCCTGCTTCGTTTTCTAATCGGGGTGCTGGTGCTTGCATCCTTCCCTTTGACAGACTTTGTCTTGGAACCTGCCGTCGAAACGTTCTCTGTATCTTCCTCCTCGCAGTAAATGTCGTCGGCGGTGATGACCCCGCCGCCTTGCTGCTGCCACTTTCGAACCTTTGCTCGCACGGAATTTGTATCGTAGAGACCCAGCGGGAGTCCGATGTCGAGCGGTTTTGATTTGATGGGCGAAGTTTTGGCGCTCCCTCCGCGATTGGCGGGGGAATGGGAACTGGCAGGCATCGGCATGAATGGAGGGCTGTGAGGAATGACAGGCGTTAGCATATTTCTTGCATACTACGCGGCAAGTATCCGATGATGCATTTTATTTCCCTGTCGGTAGATAGATCATTTATGCAAAGTCCGTTTGCTTTGCTCCCACAGTTCGGGGTTGTTGACCAAACGACGTCATTTCCAGCGGGGGATGGTGGAAGATTTGGTTGTTTTGTTTACGGCGGGAGGAGAGGGAGGGGAACCACTCACTGCTTCACGACATACCCTGGCTCAACAACTGGGGGAGTGAGAGAAATAAGGCTGTATGCAGTTTTGGTGTGATTGGGGGGCAGAGGAAGAAAATAAAATAAAAGGGTCTGGTGGAAAATCAAGAATGCGATCGAGAGCAGCAACAGGGACCTGGACCGACCAGATGCAGGGAGTCGAGAGAGAGACGCAGGCCAGAGTCAGCTGGAACAATCACCAGGACAGACCAGGTTGACGGGGTAGTTAGTTAGTCTACCTAAGCGCTTCGCTATGCCTGCCACACTTTGCGAGATAATAATGATGATAATTATTTAATGCCAGCCGCATTACTCAAGTTTTGGTTCTCTCTCTCTCTCTCCCTCTCTCTGGCGATATACAAATCCTGGTGCGATAGAGTCCAGCCCCGAGTTAGTGCGCAGGCTGCCGGGGAAACCAGCGATCAGCTCACATCAGGCGCCAGAGGAGCCAACGGGATTCGACTACTGCTTGTGAATCGGTCTTTTGTCTTCTTATTGTTCCGCCAAGCTGGAGTCATGGACTCGTGGGCGGGCGATCATATTTACATAACATCTTAGTTATTACCTAGGTATTCATCGCACGGCGCACACGTTGCCCGTCCCGAGTCCCGAGTCCCGAGTCCTGAGTTCCCTTGTCATGATGACTTGACTCTATCGATCCCGTCCTCGTAAGCACACAGTCAATGGTTCCAATTTGGGCTAACGTCGGGATCGCCGGGTCTATTTACTCTTCAGATATCAGAATCCAAGATCGAGGAGAGGAAATCAATAATGCTCTTGCAGCTTGATTTCATGCCCTTCGGTCCCGGTTTAGGCATCCTGTTGCGGTAGTCTACCTAGGAGGTAACAAATCTCTACTTTGTACATCCGACGTACTGGGTCCGACACGTCACCGACAGAAAAAGGTCTCCGACCGCCACTCTTTTGACAGTGTTATTTGCCTTGTTCACAAGTCAACCCCACCGCTTTTGCTACCGCATGCTGCTAAGCTATAGCTATCGGTACCGGTTCGGGGCGTTCAAATCATCAGCTTAGTCCACGTTGTCTTCTGCGGGTGCTCCGACCCTGAGACCGCCATCGATCGACCATGCCAGCTCCAATTAATAGCTATACTAGCTGCTTTACCTTAGCCTATGCCCGCACGCAGGGGATGCGAACTCGTGCTCACTTCCCAGTCCCAGATCATCTTTTGACGCTCCGGCCCCGGCTTGTCGATCATGCTAGCGCTTTTCTTTACCATGAGGTTGGGTGGATGGTAGATAGTAGTTAGACCACCTGCACGCTTGAATGGTGGATACCTTCACCGAGGATCTGGGTCAGGCCAGTTTGCGCCATTTACTAAGAATTGTACATGGCGTGCTAGACCGGTACGTCTGAGGATGGTCATTGCAGGGCTGTGCAGTGATAATATGCTCATGATGGCTTGTTGTGGGAGCGGAGTGTTGCCACTGCCGGCTGCCAGCACTATATATAGTGATCCTATCTCACTATATATATATATATATATACTTTCCTGGTAGCCGGATCAGCCCGACAAACCACATGGAAATACCATGGGAAAAAAAGCCACCTGGACCCAGTCTGCCACGCTAGAACATAGAAAAGAAGACGAAACCGGTAGAGTGGATAGCCATACCTAAACACAACCTCAACTATCCAGCCATCAAGCCATCATGGTCCTACATCACCTACACTCAGTAATTTGTCATTCGAATTGAATTGAATATTTGCCTGGACAGTCAGGCTAAATCTGGGGGAGGGTTGAAGATACACCAAACATGGCACCTCATGCCACCATCTATGCTTCTTACATTGTTACTCCATACAGTACTGAGTACCTAAGTACCTTTTTAGCAGACCGTAATTAAGTACTAGTAGTACTAGGTAGTAGAGTCAAACTATTCACCAAGATTATTTAGAAACATGCTCATCGCAGTGCCCCATCTCATATCCTCGAGGGCTGTAGTCTCCCAACTGGTGGTATCTTGTCTTTATCCACGGCTAGATGTGTACTGGACCACTACTCCCGTATACCTAATTCTTGTCTATTTCCACTGCCTGGACAAAGATGTTCTGTTCTGTCTATACTGCACTAATAGTGGTATATTACAGACATGTTTCCCATGAAGTACTATCCTTGGCGATATCTTCAAGGTCAAGCTTACCTAGATTGTCCTACTCCAAGGTTACTTCTAGGCCCCATGGGCAGAATACAGTATCGGAGGTTGAGTTTGATTCGTTCATGAAAGGTCCATCAATTAAGAGATACCGTAATTTTCCTGTCTAACTACCCATGAGACTACAATAAGGTTAGTAGTTGTTCACTACAGGCACATTAACAGGCATGGATTCCAGGCCGTGCCTAATCAAGTATTGAGAATACCCAAGGCCACAGTATAGCGATGAACCACAGTATAAATATCAGAACAGAGATTTCCCCAAGTGCTTATTTAAAGAAGACGTCAATGGTTGGGGTGTTTCAGGCATCAAGTGCTTTTGTTTATTGCGAAGCAAAGCAGAGAGTCTACTAGGTATACAGCAGTAGGTGCCATGTCATGTCACGGTCATATCTTTACCCATGACGAGAATAAAGCGGAGCACAGCTATTTGAAGTCTATAACAATACAAGGTAGTTACTTTACTATGCTAGGTAGATAAATGATATTCCCCTGATGGATGGCATGCGGCCAGAGGTCTTCTTAGTTACCTGCTTCATCACTGCTTCGTACGGATCAGGGACGAAGTGTCCATACCCGAGAATAATAATATAATCTGGAGCAGAAGTGGTGCAGAGTTATAGAAGGGGAAAAAAAGAAACATCAAAAAGAACTGGAGATACAGGGAATCGAACCCCGGATCTTTCCGAAGCAATAGAAGACATGCAAACGGAACGTCGATACCACTAGACCATATCCCCGGTTATGTTATTTACAACTTCAAAATATCAGCCATAAAGTAGAGACTCTTTTTCACCACTGAGAAATTGTGTTTTCGTTTGAGAATATACTACAATACCTAGGTATGGAGTATAACGCCTGGGGTGAATTGGAATGGGAGAGGTGAGCACAAGGCGATCTATCTGTATATTGAGACATCATTTCCGAATGAACCAAGATCTACATAGGCAGCAAATATCCACAAGCTTCGAACAGTTATAAATAACCTCACCCGCCCCATACTCAAAGCATATCAGATGGAAAGTCAGGATAAGCCGGACACACAGAAAATTCTTCAAGAGCATTGTCACTCTGGATAATGTAAGCATCTGCAATTGCTTGAAAATCACTCGTCTCCTGCCTCGCGGACAAAGCATCCGACATGAGCTCACTGACAATGACTCCATGTGCGGACCTTTTGGCATCCTCAGACCAGCGCTGAAACGACATTCAGCCACTTCCCATGCTCTGATACCCGGGGTTCACTCTGGCGGCGGGCGGAGCTCATTGAGGAGGAACACGAAAGGGACGTATTGTAGGTAACCACCGAGCGTCCACTCCCACTTGCGGGCGGCGACTTCAACCTCCAGACGCTTCCGCGTGTCTATTATATCAACCGCGGCGTCAAAGAGTTGGTCTCGAATGATAGGGCTCAAAGTCTCGAGTGATCCCACGGAGGTGAACTGAGGGCTGAGCAGCTTCATCCACATCTCCGAAACCATCACCTAGGAAATATGGCCGGCGAGCCAGTGGATGGATTCAGTGCCGTCACAGTGGCTTAGATAGTTGGTGTGAATTCTGTGTTGACATTCCTTTACGGCTTTCGTCTTGACGACGTGCCACGGGACGTTACTTTCGACCATCCGCTCCGTGGTTGCCAGGTCATACCGGAGAAGGCAAAAGCTCATTTCGGTCCAACTACTCTGGTTGGTGGGCATACTGGCCATACCGGTAGAGAGCTTAGAGTCTGGACAGTTTTGAGGGAGTTCCACGCCCGCCGCGGAACTAGACTGGCTATTCGGACCGGAGCTCTGTCCTCGATCGTCCTGCATGCGGCGGCTGAGGTACCACAGATGCCACCGTAGGCGCCGCCGCATCTCCGCGCCGATCCGAATATCGTCTTCGAAGATCTACATCTGGTACCCATGCTTGCTAAAGCTCATGGGATACTGATGGTGTCACGTTTGGGACCCTCTTCCCTCTCGGCGCCATTTTGCTGCGAGTAATTCACTCGAGGTTCGGTGTTCACGTTCATGCTGCCTTCCAGCTGTTGGGATATGCTCTGATGATTTCTGGTCTGGAAACTAGAATCTGTGTTGGGAAGATCATTCTGCCCTTTCTGCATTGCACTCCTTTCGCAGACAAGCTAATGCCCATTCAAGCTCCATAACAATGGCCACACAATCCTTGGAACTGTCATTGTCGTCTTCCTGCTTATCCAGCCCATCATCGGTTTCTGGCATCATCATCGATTCAAGAAGACCCAATCAAAGAGCGTTCGGACTCACACCCACATCTGGATTGGTCGGATCTTCCTTCTGTTAGGAATCGTCAACGGTGGCACGGGTCTGAAGTTGGCAGACAACACGAGGGGAGGTATAATTGCCTATGGTGTCATTGCGGGTGTGTTTGGTGTGACTTGGATTTCAATCGCGGCCTCGTGCCAGGGAAAGTTGATCTTAAAAAGCAAGAAGGCGGCACCGGAAACGACGCAGCCTTGACAAGTCTCCCAGGAAATAGGGGAAATAGCCCGGATGCTTTCATACTTTTTCAAGCTCGTGCATTCTAGTATTCTAGTGAGTTGCTTTACCTGGTATTCCAATCCTGCCAGCCTCTTCGTATAATAGGAATTAGCAGAAGAATATATGATATCTCGAACGAAGCATCAGTGGTTCACTAGAGTTATTTGGATTTCCGGGAGACAGAGTCACTTTCAAGTCTCCTCATGGCATAAGAGATTGTCTTCATACTCTGAAAGAGATAGTCTACATAATATGTCAATCACCAGCCACAAGCCTAATGATAGGAGAGCACTTACACGCTGGAACGATAATCCAGATAAAATTCATCAGGAAATAGTAGACCCAGAAGTAGACTGCCTCAGGTCGACAATACGGCCGTCCATGAATATATTCGTCATATAGACTCGTCACATAGTATAGCATAGCGCCGTAGAGATGGGCCATGCAAACAATAATCTGCAATGGATGGCGCAGAGAATGGCAGTTCAGAATAGAATATGCGACACTGAAGCATAATGGGCCCCAAACAAGCTTTTGAGAGAGTTAGCTAATCTCGGAAATATTCGAATCCCACGTTTGGAGGCAACCCACAACTGTGATGGTTTCCATGCATAGTACTAGCGTGTCGGCTGTCATATAGCGCGAATCGGAAAGGGCATACTCCTTCCAGAGCTGACCAAAGAAGTCTTGCGCCGACGCCATATGAGCATGATTGATCATAAAGTAGCCTTCAAAAAAGCAGTGCAGAATGCCCGCTGATAGTAGTAGTTCCAATCAGTCTCAGCACATCTTTCATCAAATGTCAGGACTCGTATTGGGCTCGTACATAGAACAAACCATAGAATGGCGATTCGGTCAGCTTTTCTCAGACTAGGCCGCAGCCAGCTACTCAGCATAAGTGTAGCTCCTAGTAAAGCCGTTGTGCCCACGCTGGCGGTCGATAATAAGCCAGGGACCGATGTCACATTGGGCGCGTAGTCATTGACACGGGCATCGAGGGGATAGTAAGGGTGGGTACGGACGTTATCCATAGTTGATCAGTTGATTAAAGACCGAGCAGAGAGCAGACAATAAGATAATACAATATAGGGGAGTAGTCAAGTTAAGTCCGTGGTTGATATAACCCAGGGACTATTAGAGGACGACTCCTGGACGGTGGCCGCGAGAGTCGTAGACTGCCTAAAGGGGAATAGCATCAACAATGATGACACTAACCAGCTCTGGCTAGCCTTGATACCTCAGGCCACAACAACTCCAAGTCCCTCTCCGCAGCCCCCGTATTCCTTGATTGACGTCGTCTGTTGGGCTGTCATCCGCCCAATGCAGCCGTCTTAGTGATCCTGGTTTCTATCGGGGCTCCCATGGGGCTTGGGTTTTTTCTGCTTGACGCGTAATTTCGCGATGGACCATCACTCACTGAGGAAGAAGTCCTTGGGGCTTGATGCGCCCCGCACTGCAGCTACCGAGTCGCCGCCTGGCATCGCCGCGCTGTTTGTGATTCACTTCGACATCAAGGCTGGGTATGTCTCTACTTTTGGCGGGGATTGGGCGTGACTTCTGGAATGGAATTGGCTAATGCGAGTTTATTGCCAGGTATATGGTGACGTGGAAACGTACCATTCCCGGTGGTGAGTGCTATAACACTTTAAAGGCTGGATGCGACGATATGCGTTTGCTGATGTATGGAAACAGTCGAAGTTGAAGGAGCCGTGGAGTACAAGTCACTCCCATCGGGTCTACACAATGTATCTGAAGACTTGATGTATGTCCAGAAGTCGGTGCACAGTTCCGCAGTACTAACCGCATGCGCCGGCTAGATATTTCGTTCACGAACAGTATGCCGGCATCAGCGCGTTCGTCAACAAGCCAGCGGAGGAGTCGGAGCGGAACGCCAAGATGTTCTCGATCGGAGTGCTGGTACCCTTGAGCTCTGGCAGACTGGGGAAAAGCTGGCGACATGCTCCGAAATTGAAAGAACTGGCTCAGTGAGTGCTATTGCCCGAGTCCTACCGGCTCCAGAGATAGGAACTAATATTTGCGCCTTCCGAGCAGACGCTACTCCGAACATGAGTTTGACACGCAGCGACTATCAGAGTACTGGGAAACGTACGAGCTATCCGCCAATGATACATCCGCAGCACCGCCTGATTCACCACTCGAGTCCCCTTTGAGTTTTCGACTGCGGGCGCACGGTGATCGACCCGATCCTCTACAACGGAATCGAGCAATCAGTGATGCGATGGTGTTGGAAACGCCCAGGCCGGCCCTGGCGCCTTTTCACCCAGCATCGTCTCTCCCAGACTTCCTCCATTTTTTCGGCCCCCTTCTATTCCCACTGTACAGAGCAGCATTATTGCGGAGAAGAATCCTTTTTATGACGGAAGCGCCGGTGCAGCTAGCGTGTAACTACGGTATGCCGCATTCGTCTCTCTACCGGGGCCTCACTAATTGCCATAGTATACAATCTGTCTGTGTTGGCTTCATTACCAACCTCTCTCCTACCAGTACTGCCTACGGACCGGTTACCGTCTCTTCGACCTCGCGCACTCTTCAATGTTGGCGTCTATGATATCCCATACCTCTCTTCCTTCATCAGAACTTCCCCGGATCTTGAGCGCGACTGTTCATGGGTTGCATGCAGCACGGACAGTGTCCTGAGCATGAAACCTGAGCTGTTCGACGTTCTCGTCACACTGCCTCCCGCTCACTCAAAGAACGCCGCGGATAGAGTGTACCCGACTATCACTGTTTCATCCCAATCACCTCAGAAACCATCGTCGAGAACTGAAATTAAAGCCACGCAACGGGATGTACGACGTTACACGGCACTTCGAAAGGGTTTGCGCCGTGTATACAAGGACGACGAACCCGAACCCGAAGACACCAATAGTGACGAAAGTTCGGATACCGCATCCACCTTCTCGTCCAGTCCCATTGTTGAGCCTCTCTCGTGGACCCGACTAGCATACACGTCCTTCATCTGGTGGGCATCAGCCGGCGAAAAGCGCGACGGATTCACCGAAGAGGAAGAAGAACACGAAACCGAACAGGACGCGCGCCTTCTAGCAAGCGTTGACAGCCTCCCAAGCCCCCCTGCCGGCCCAACACCTCGCCGAAGCATGCAACAGGGACAGCAACCGAGCCAGCCGCCGGAAATCGCCCTCATCGCGTACTTCCGCCAGCTGACCACCGAAATCTTCGTCACCCTCTCTGAGGTGATAGCCCGGCAAGACGAACAG